TCGATACTGATCTTTTTAAGCGTGCACCCCGGCGCGCACTTTTAAAAGGGTGCTCGAGTTTGCTAATTTTAAGCAAAACACTTGCGATGTTTTGTTTATCATTTTCCACGGATAAAACATTTGAAGATGCATTTATAGGTCACTTGACGGAAAAGTGAAAGTTAAGGGTTTGGTTAACCCTCTAAACATTTTTGTTATGGTGGTCTGAAAAAAAAAAACACCCTTCGAGTGCAACACGTGGGAGCCAGAATAGAATAGCATCAAGAAGGCTTACATTCCAGACAAGAATATCATTTATCTACTTAAAATAAACGCGTTACAAACAGATTTGGAGGCTCACTGAGTGTTTCAAACCGCGACCGACCTTAGCTAGACCCGATACTGACACTGAGTAAGTTGAGAGTGTCATGCCTAAAAAGCATACTCCCCTTCAAGTGAATCTGTCCCAGTTTAGTCTATTAACAGGCTGTTATGCCCTTGTTAATAGGGTATACTTCTTTTTCGCCCAGTATTAGACTGTTTATAGTCCGGTCCCCTATTTTTCCGTATTTTCGTCGCGATCGAGCGCTTTGCGTTTCGGGCAGCCATCTTGGATGAGTGTCAAAACGATCTTACGGAAAAATAGGGAACTGTGAACAGTCTAGCCCAGTATCGGCAGTATTGGTTCACAGTTAAGGTATCATAATGATACTTTACTGATCTAGCTGCTGACCCAGTTCGAATTAATGTAATCCGAGTTTTGCACCACTATATTTAAAAAGTAGCAACGCAATGTCAGATACAGGTCAACTAGGAGTTTCACCATTCCCAGAGGCACATTTTACCGAGATTCAGTTTTCTTTTTTTATTTTGTATGGCTAGATGTGGTTTTCAATAGATCATAATAAAAAAAAAATTCCGCCAAGCCTCGGAGCCAAGTATGAATGTTAATGTATCGAAACATGGTCTATTGCAAAGAATGTTTTAAATGCGGGCTTAATCCGTCTCGGAGACGGATTATACCTGTCTAGAAGTAATGATGCTGATAATTTGGGTACAAAAACTAAAAAGATCATCGGATGATATTAATCATGTTTTTCGAATACCATGAGTGTTTACGATTATTCTGTTTTGGGTAAACTTAAAGAAGAATGACTATGTTTCACTAACTCATTTTTCTCAAGGATCGTTTGTAATATCGAAAGCCGGACCTAGGAATTGTGACGTTTAGTATGCAGGTTCGAGAAACATGAGAGGACGCAAAGGGTTTTTACTGGAAGTACAGCACTATGCACAGTTATAAGCTTTGTGGGCACTTAATCCAAAATACTTCACACTCCTCGAAAGTGCTAACATTTCTGTGTCATGGCGAGACTTTTCAATGTATTAAATGTCAGCATACATTGGAAGATAATCTTCATTTCGCGCCAGAATAATTTTGTTTGCGCGCTTTTTAAGTACCTAAAATCACTCAGTTCCCCACAACGCCTGCATTGTTACTGGAGTACATTGCCTTGTAGTCTGTGCCAGGCTCTCAGATAGTATAGTGGGGACGTATTAAAAGAGCAAAGGGAAAATAAGACGCGCGCGACTTGGGAAAGGGGGCGGTGGCGGAGGGAAAAACTCCCCAGCTCCCGCGCGTTTTTCTCATTTCTTTTTACTGAACGACTTTTCACCACTATCTCGGAGCCTGGAACAGGCTAATTGCCTTGGCGTGGATGTAGCATTTCACCTCCTCGTCGCTTCTTTTTCTCGGGAATTGTTTATATTTGGACGTAGTGAGAATAGATCAGAATGTGTGGTGGATGTTCACCCTCGCCAACAACTAATACATGCGGCCTAATATCAAGGAAGGATGCTGGATTTTTCTCATTGTTAGCGAAAGGAAGGTAAAAAAACGATTGCTCTGAGGTAAGAATTGAAATTTTTAATCAGTTTCTCGGCGAAAACAAACGTTCCACAGTAAAGGAATTTAGTATCGCTGCGACTTTATTATGATATGACGCAAGCTTGCGCTCAGTAATTGTATGACTCCATAAATTCGATTCGCTTTTTCGCAGAACCGGTAACATTCGATAAAGTTTTCTTCGCTTTGTTAAGTGTGATATATTTCTAAGGACGGTGCCTTGTTCAATGATTCATCGGCTTGGCCTCGACGATTCCCATGAATTTTGAGCTGCCAGACATAACAAATGCTCTAGAGCTGAATAACACATTAAGTTGCCATGTTATTGACCTCATGAGAGAAAAATCATTGTCATTTAACATTTTAATATTTTTACGTGAGAAAACTTGGCCAAATCAAGAGAATGAGCTAGAATGTTGACACACAAAAGTAAAGAATGTTTAAGCTATGGGAGAGGTGCTAGATCGCAACATGTTCGTGTCCTCCTGGGCTTAGGTATTTTGCGTGGAAAGCCAGACCTTTTCAATCCTAACAAAAATACTCTTCTAGTTTTGAACCGGCTTAAGCCCAAACCCTAAGTTAATTTTCAATGGACACGAAGCTTTGATTTTGGGAGCGAGACTCAACAGATACGGCTGTGGCCATTTTTTGAAGGGCGAGGCGATCACAAGCTTTTTTAAAGTGTCAGTTAGAGAGTACTTCTCCTGTTGCTGGTCTAAAACTAACTTCTTTTTCCAGCTGGCGGACGGCTCGTCCCATGCAGTTCCATGCAACATATTCTACTCCTGTTTCTAGTCTAAGACTAGCTTCTTTCTCGAACTGAGGATCGCAAGGGAGAGCCCGGAAGTCCCCAGCAGGACCCTTAGATGATACTAAAGCGCGCTGAATAAATTAATTACGGATTTCGAAATACGTGTGTTCGAAATATCCTTACCTAGCTCTGCGTGTTGAAATACGTACTAATCATGCTCTGCTTGCTTTTAGCAGTCTACTACGGTCTATCGTATTAAAGCAAATACGCATTACGCCGATTCAAAAAACTTGTCAAAATTTTCTGCTTTGATGATTTTCCCGTGATTTCCTCGTCTCTGACAATCTCGCCTATCAAAAATGTTTTGTTTTACAAAGACTGCTTTATTCACGCTTTATTTTCACTGCGATTTTACTTTATGTTTATTGAATGAACCACTGAGTCTTAGTTTGAATACATTTTAACGTTTGAAAAGGCAACACTCCAATAGCCTGCGTGGCAGGCGTTTGAAAGGGAATGGAAAGGGAGTTTTAGGTGCGAGAGAAACGCGAGAGGCGCGCGAGGAGGGAGGGAGAGAAACGCCTGCCAGAAGACCAATGTTTTTCTCGTTTTTAACATCCACCTAGCCTGCGAACCGCAGACGCATTTCCGGTCGTCGCTTCTCTTCCTCCGAAAAATATTATTTTTCGGAGGGAGAGAAGCGACGACCGGAAATACGTCTGCGGTTCGCAGGCTAACATCCACCAGGCGAATTTTAAAATCCTGATTGGTACGTCTTCAAAACATGTCAATCACAGCCGTAATACCTTAATCCGATTGGCTGAAATCAACATCACGCTACTGAGTAACTTTCAGTAATCATTTAAAAATATGTTGTTAGTGAGGCGTGATGAGATTTCTGTATGGAATTCATCGTTTTAGAACGATTAGAAACTGAAGGTATCTATTTCAGCTTGAAAGGAGAATAGAAGAAAGCAGTTAAAAGACTCGTATGAAGGAAAAGACCTGTCAGCTAGATGAGTTTTGCTGACTGGTTTTGAGAAGTCTTGTCTCCCAACGGCTTGTTTTACTCACTAGAAGAGAGAAAGGAAAAATCATGCTGCCTGTGTGCTTGTTACATGCTCTTTGACCTTAAACGGTTTTTTAGGTGAAGGTATGTTAGGAATGCTAGTACAATGTACTAAGGATTTGTATGCGGTGCTTACAGCCGAGGCTCTGTGCGCCCTGTCATGGATCAACTCATTATCATGTACAAGGAATTTTTCCCGCTTATGGTAGGAAAAAACCTTGGTATGTACAACCACTGATAGATGGTGTTGTTTTGTTTTCTTTATACGGTGCATCTTGATATTTTGCGTATGTAATCAATACCCAGTGAAATTTGATGGCCAAAGTACCCCTCCTTTTACTCAGATACTATCTATTTACGCTCCAGCAACGACATTGACGTTGGCGGGAATCATATTCCAAAAGATAAAAAGACTTATTGTATCTTCGTAATAAGAACACCTCAACTTCTGATCATGGACAGCTTAATTTCCTTTTAACCGGGGCCGAAATCCCTCCTACTTCGAAAACTCATTAATAATTCATAACGAAAAAACCCTAAAAAGGTCACCCAGAATTTTCGGAAGCCTCTTTTCTGGCTGAAATTTTCGAAAAGGTCAGTTTTGATCCCTATAATTTTCGGATCACTAAACTTTCAGCTAGGAAATCCGAACAGATGACAAATTTTAAGGGAATAAAAATATGCCTATATCTACCGATTAAATACTAAAACACGTTTAACAAATGCTGTGTTTAAGTAGTTTTAAACTATATTCTCGTTTGGTGCCCCTAACTCATACATGCAATTCTACTACAAACAGGCTTGAGTGACAGGAACAGGATCCGCGTAAGTTTAATTGAAGTCCATAATTAAATTAACTGATTCTTGTTGAGTTCTCGTCTGACTTCCGTAAACCAACCGTTGGCCTACAAGGTTATCAGTACTTTTTTTTAATAATTGGTCTGATAAATTGTTTAACCCTTCCTTTATATAGGAATTACACGTGAATACCCTGCACCCTCTAAGCCTACTCTCACTTGAGACCTAATTATCTCATCTTATAAAACCTTATGAAATTCATTTTATTATGATTTCCCTTGAAACTCCCTTGAATGGTTCATAAGGAATGGTTGTATCCTTTAACTAATAATTGACTTTAAATGGCTATGATCGTGCTGTGATACTATGTTAAAGTGACGCAGTCGGTATAGCCGTAGAAACACACCATTCCTGATGTAATGGTGCACTGAGGTGCATCCACCTCATTTGATGCGTTTGCCTCCATTTTTTCCGGGGCGCAAAATCGAAGTCCTTTTCTACTGAACCAAGATGTATCCAAATGAGCTGATGAACTTGTCTCCATTATCAGATCGGAGCTTTGCCGCAACTCCACAGGTTATGGAATCATCTGGAATCCCTTGCATACCAAACCCAATTCTAGAATTAACCGTGCCACAATCGTTTTCGTTGTTACCAAGGATACCGATCCTCGCCCTGGCCTTTCTTACTGAAGTGCGACCGCCACTGGTGTTAAAACCCTCTCTGTTGCAGTTGCGCTGTAGGGAGGCCTGAGACCCAAGCAGTGCTTTCCAACTATTACGACCCAGCGAGGTGGAGCGATAAAGTCCATCAGCAATGAGGGAGTAGAGGGAGCTGGCTTGCTTGTTGAAGGCAATAAAGTTTGTCTGATTCCCGATTTTCATACCCAGACAAATTTTAGAAAAATTTGTTTCCCAGTAGGTTGGTAATTTGGTTTCTTGTGTGTCAAATCCTGTCTTGCCACCAGCGAAATTATACCCATTTTTGTTAGTCCAAATACATGACGTGTACTGGAACGTTCTCTGAAAGACAAAGTTGAGAATATTCATAGACATTAAATCATATAGTTATCGGATACTACAAAAACAAAAAACTGTAAGTTCCCGGATACTTTAACCTTCTACTAATCGATTGAATTCCTAGCTTCTGATCGGCCAGAAACAAATTTTTCTGGCTATTCAAGGAGAAGGAACTGCCGGGTTGCTTTCGTCTATGCTATAGTATTGGCAGCTGTGTTTCTCTTTCCATTAAACTGCGCTCTGTGACAAAATTATCGACACACTATCCTTTAATGAGGTTCAGGGAACAAAACAATCCACATCATCCCGCTCTCATCCCCTCCATTCAATATTAAGTTGTTGTTTCGTACGGGACGCTCAGGGGCAGAACATCGCTTGGAGGGATGGAAGCTTAATTTTTGCCTTGATGAAGATAAGGCAAAGTGTTTCAACTAAGTTTGTCTCCGATTGTAGTCTTTCGGGAATTTCCGACCAAAGTTCTGATAAAGCTGGAAAAAATGATGCAACTAATGTAGCTTAGCTTGAATTTGAAAAACCATCCTGTACCTTTGTGCCGTCAGTCTTCATGACCGGCGTCCAACCACCACCACCGCATCCAAAGTCTCCCATGTGACAGTAGACAGGGATTGTTTGTAATCCAAACTTCAAAGTAAACACCTGACTCTTGGATGAACTATTAAGAGTTAAAAAATGAAATACAATCAACAGTCAGTTACATGTTTTTAACGGCTTATAATTCTACAATCCACTGCGGAGTTTTGTAACCATATGGGACTTCAATTTAGCACGACTATCAGCAGGATGCAACCGTGATAATTGCTTTTTAAGTCAAATATAATCTCTCGAAGTGAAATCAGACGATACAAGTTATTATGTAACGCTTGAGTTCTGGGGGAGTTTGAAAGAGTGGGTGATATACTAGGTGCTTCACAGGGACTATTGGCTTGTTTGACTCGTCTTATTCTCTCCATGATTTAGAGAAATTAGTAATTAGTGCAAAAGTTTGGATGTATTTTAGAATCTGTGCAATCAGAGACGCACTACTTATTTACTATAAGTATTCAAGTAGTGTCCGTCTAAAGCAATGCGTAAAATATCTGTCAGTGACGAATTTTGCTCTTTTTTTGAAGAGAAATACGAATTAAAGCTCTTCGGATGTTTCGTTTTGATAAAAATAACGTGTAAGACTTTGCATTTTTTGGAAAAAGTGTTTACGTGAATAAGTTATTTAACCTTCGAGTTAAATTATACCTATTAATTTTCTACTTTTTACAAAGCCCATGCTCATTTTGAATTTGTGTATAGTTATTCAAAATAGAGCGAGTCATTGGCTTGGGCACTCAAGTCTTGAATATCATAATAGGAATATGTGGTCAATAGCAAACTTTTAGATTAGCATTCAAGTTTTAGTAGTTGCACAGCGCTAAATTCATAACAATTCACTTGTTGCTGACCCAGACCGTTATTTAAAGCATCAAAAAAAGGGGAAACATTGAGTTGAATGCAACAGTTGCAGTGGAAAGGAATATTTTAAAGGGGCCTTGATTTGGGAAGTGTTTGAGACCCAGACAGCGAAAATATAAGATTAAGATGTTTAAGATAAGGATATTACGATGATTTTTCCAGAAATGAAATATTTTAAAAACACTAAAGGGGACGTAAATATATTGATGAATGCCATCGAATTTGCCAGTTGAATTTTTCCCTCCATAGCTCAGGTTAAATGCAAAAACTCAGTCAAATGCAACGGCTATAATTATTTAGTAAAATCCAACTAGTGGTCTACTATCAATGCTGCGTTCTGATTGTTTGAGCTACTACTACGCTATCTGTTATAGCCCACTAGTAGCGCAAAGCGCCGGCTTTTTAGCGGCAAAAAAGGCTTAAAGTCAGCTTTAACTAGCTTAAGTTGTTTTGTCTCGATATTTATGACCAACTAGTTGGATTTCACTAAAACAATTATTCCTCTCGGCCTCATGGCCTCTGACTGTCAATAGCCCATTCGGCCTTCGGCCTCATGGGCTAATGACTCAGAGCCCATTCGGGCGAGAGGAATAATTGTTAACTATTATGCCAATGTATGTTTAAAAGATTCCGCCTTTAAATATGTCCGAGTGACCCTTACTTGTCTTTTAAATACTGTTCCTGGCAAGAAGAGATAGCGGCTGACGTAACTAAAATCAAAAATTCAAAATAATTAGAGTTGAAATATATTACGATACGAAAATAAATTATGGAGGAAAATTCGACATTAATAAGAGTTAATGTAGATTTTCTCTTCAAGTACCTGTCGGTTTTGGAGTCGGTTGTTGACTAGTAAAGAAAAGAGTTCTATTAATCAGTCTAATGATATTCTCCATCTTTGCATCCAAGGTATTGACGGCATCGCTGAATCCAGAAGTCTTGTTGATCATTTCTGTAAGACCTTCCACCTTTTTTTCTAAGGACTTGACGGCACCGCTGATACTGGAGGTCTTGTTGTTTAGCTCTGTAAGAGCCTCGACCTTTTTTTCTAAAGACTTCACTGCATCGCTGATACTAAACGTCTTGTTGTTTACGAGTCCTCTAAGACCCTCCACCTTTGCTTCTAAGACCTTGATGGCATTGCTGATGCTAAAAGTCTTGTTGCTCATTTCTGTAAGACCCTCCACTTTTGCGTCCAAGGACCTAACCGCATAACTGATGCTAGAAGTTTTGTTGTTCAGTCCCGTAAGTCTCTCCACTTTGGCTTCTAAGCCATTGCTCACGCCAAAAGTCTTGTTGTTCGGTCCAGCAAGACTCTCCATTTTTGCTTCCATAGACTTCACGGCATCGCTAATGGCAGAAGTCTTGTTGTTCAATACATTGTTAAGACCTTCCACCTTTGTCTCTAAGGCTTTTATGGCGCGAGAATCTTGATTTACAGTGCAATGACAATTGCAATGATTAATCGGCGCCTTGTTACTGCGAGGTGTTTGACTACTACTTGCATTAACCAACGTTGTGACGCCATTAACATAAAACGTAGTACCCATCATTAAAAGCACCAAAAATGACATACGTGACAAATTCATGATAAAAAGTGGTATTTTTCGCTGGCGTCAGAATTAAATTAACAACTGAAAGGCCCGATAAATTGCTTGCGTTCCCTTTCATCTGAAGCATAACATCAATACCCAGCTGAACTTGCTGGCGTTTTCTCTTTCATGTCAGCACAGGCGTCCCAATTTCACGTTATAAGGGTGGAATTTAATTCAATTTCAGTGACGAGTCGATATCGCGTTACAGGCAACCTTTTTGCGATGAAGCGTTTCATGAGAAATAAAAAGAATCAGCTAGTCAATAATGCGTTACAGGCAACCTTTGATTTGAAACGTTGTGTGAGAAAGTAAAATACTGCAACGTCTGCGAACGCTCAATATCGTTACATTTTATTGACATGATTGGTCAATAAAAAGAAGACAGACTTGACCAGGAGCCGATTTTTACTTGACTTGATGTATTTCTGTGTGTTTTGGTTTGAATTAATCGATCTCCTCGACTTGTTGGCCTTAATTTTGGGAGTTTCTCTACTGCAGCACAGCCCTGGTGGGTTAAATCACGCATAATTCAAGTAGTTTTAGCTTTGCTTTACAGTCATTCTAAACTGGAGATTTCGTATCCTTAGAAAACTTTAAAGCAATCCTAGGTTTGAGAAAAAAAAAACTAGGATATGCGTTAATTTATTTCTTAAATTCAAAAACTCATTAATAATTTACAAAGAAAAAAAAGCAATTAATGTTTACTGAAGGTCTCTATATCTGATAAAGACACGGCTAAACTTTACGTCCAATTTTTTTGGATCAAAATAACCCCCAATCTAAATATCAGTGTAAGAATGAGTTGATCTATTATCAGGTTTAAAAGTTAATCTCGAGGCGAAGCCGAGAGTTTTTAAACCTAATGATACACAACTGCGATGTTTTTAAACACCACATAAGAAATTTAGTGAAATATTGTTCTAAGAGTGTTTACCTTGAACTTTACCGCTGGTTACACTGTCCACTGAAATGACTTATTTCCAAAATGACGTGGTTAACATGCTTTAAATTAATAGAGAAAAAGCGAACCAGGGCTGTTTACCTCATATGTATTCATCTTTCCAGCAAAGCTATGAGTATCGAAGCCTTGATTATAATCGTGTAGTTCAACTTGATTATCCATGGGCAATGCAATTATTCTGTGCTGTATTGTGAAACTTTTAAATTATGCTTAGGGCTCGACGATGCTTGAAAGGCGACTCAGTCGAGTGCTGTGCGACAAGAGAATAATTTCACCTACAAAACCGAATGGATCTCCGAAGGCTCATAGTTCATAGAAGTTAGTTTTAGAATTTACTCGTGTGCTTTTGGAGAAGCTGATAGCACTTTTCAGGAGACCTCAAACTCCAAAAGAAGCAGGCATTAGACCGAACCGCGTTCACAATCCATTTGGGATTCGGTTCAAGTTGTAAAGTAATTCAGGGGTATACATTAGCGCTGAAATAGACCTCATTTTGAGTAAGCTAAATATTTAGTTCTCTGCAGGTCAGTCGGAAGTGTCATCGATTCAAGAGAGTGAATTCCTGACTTTTTAAAGTTAAAGGCGGCTCCCTGTTTGCCCAAAATGTACGACAAATGTACGACTGCTAAATTTTGGCTTAAAACTCTCGTCCGATGAGAGATTTTGTGATCTCCGATCTATTCTAAAATCATCACGTTACCTGCTGGAGTATTTCAGTATATATGCTGGTATTTTACTGACATATTGAGTATTTTCGTAGTACGCTTAAAAAGATTAAAGACAGAGATAACAATGACCGTTGAAGCCTCTGATAAAAATAAATAAATAAACACCAATCAAAATTGGGTAAATGGCTTAAATCTTGGTACTTGTGTCCCTTTGTGTCCCATTTTATCACCCTTAATTGATTTTAAACAGTATACGATACAAAGACCATAAAAAGCCTTTTTTTTTTCAGTCTTACTTGGTGCTGTCTTTCGTCGTCCATATACAGATCCGAAGTGAGGTATGGTTTAACAGATTGTGCCAGGATTAATGTCCTCTTTTAAATGTCTGCATACTCATAGTCCATAAAAAAGGTCTATCTCCTGAGAAAAAAATGCTCACATTAGCCCGGTTGGAGAGGTACTCAAAAACGTTTTATACGGGGAAGCTTCGACCTGAGGTCCAACTCCGTACCCTTTTATAGACCATTTTTGACAGAAAAGGTTCCCCCCGGGGGGGAGGGGTACTTCCTTATAAGAGGCTAATGGGGATGTGCAGCTGGATGGGGTCGCATTTTCACGACTGGATTGACTATAATGGGAATCAGTAGTCGGTTCCGGCAATTCTACTTTTTGCAAAAAAAGCGGATTAAGAAAATGAAAAACGCCTAAAATTCAAGATCTTTATTTTTATTCTAAACTGAAAAAAGGAAACCCTTTTTTAACTTCCAGTCGCCATTATGGAAACTTGAGAAAAGTGCCCCCTTTTCTCACGAAAAGCCGGATATTTTTTAGGATTTGTCTTCGATATAAAGTGAGGCAACTTTCTTGAGTAATATTTATATCTCACGAATCGAGATACTTCTCGAGTTTTTTCAACTTTTTGCCTTTTTCTTCAAAGTAAAAAAAAAGTCGACCTTTTT